GACACGTTATGCGCGACAGGGAAACAAACTTGGAGATGGGCAGAGCAGCATCTTCCTAATAACAACATGAAAATAAATACTGAGGTTGCCAAGCATGACAACTTTGGCAAATATTCCTCTTATTAGGCAGTCTGTGGTGAGAGGCCTATATTCAGCAGTGGTAATGAACAATTTTTTTAATTATCACTGCTGCAGGTTTTCGTGCCTGGTTGTATTTTTTTATAGGATGAGGGTGACAAACTAGAACACAGTCCACCTGATGGTAAGTGGTTGCTGTGACCCATAGACATCTACGTCTATCCTCGATTATGAATTAAAATGCAGATGCGTTGTCACCCGTGAAGACTAAGATGAAATGCTTCGTTTCCAGTAAAAAGTGTCTCCTGTTCTCTACACTCACCATACACCAACAGCATTGAGCTGCTATTTTACGCTGGTATTATTCTGTGAGAGCGTGATCCATCCCCGTTCGAGGCGACCCATTCGTGCTGCTACTATACCAGTAATATACCTGCAGCATAACTACAACGTGCAAAATCTTTACTTCATATCCCAGTCCCATATCTTTACTGCATTCTATTCATAAAATGCACAAAGTCGGTGGATGCAAGAAGCTCAGAACCGTGTTTGGTGGTATTCTTTGGGAGATCACTTATTGTGTTTCTGTGCAGCACAGAACTTCTCTCTGAGAGAGCTGTGGACTGTGTGAGGGAGAGAGTTGTGGAGGATTGGTGGTAAGGGATTGGGGAAAAGTTCAGCATTGGACTTGTGAAGAGCTGTAATGATAATGGTAATGATGAGCATTGTGGCTCAGGGGTACAGATACAACATTGTAGATGCCTATACTGAATAAAGTATTTTACCACATTTTATTAACCTGCTTTCGTGTATATTCAGGTTGAATTTAGTAATTGATTTTAAACTAACTTCCCGGTAGAGCTAGAGACTTGAAATTTTGAACGTAGCTCAGTATCTGATGACAATGTAATAAGAATATGAAAGAAATAAAATGTATATTAAAAAGTATGTGTGCAGTTCGCACGCGGTACTCGTAGAAGTGAAATCTTCAAGTGAAACGAAATATAAAATAAAAATATTTAACAGCAAATGATTTATTTAATATGATCATTTTCAACCACAAGACATGAAAAAGCAAGGCAAGGCATAAAATATAAAATAAAAGTTTATTTTAAACTTTTATCTTATTTTACAAACTAGCTGGTACCCGGCGCGTTGCTGCCATGGAAGAAATATTTATGGAAATATCTTTACATATAAATTTGGAAGAGTTATACTGTTTAATTAGGAATGATAATAATAGGGACAGAAGTGGACTGTATGATTTTTACTATGCAAGTGGACTGTATTGACTAACTAATTGACTGATGTTGACGTATACTACACTAGGGAGTGCTTAAAGAAAAGATGGTACTGTAGACTATACTGTATTAAACTATTTATAAATGCGGCTTTCACTAATTAACAATATACACAGAGGGGAGTCTTCAGTGGAGTATTAATTCTTCTCTCTTGATTTCTCTTGACGTTTCTTCTCTTGCTGTTGTCTTCGAGTGCCGCTTCCGAAATGTACAGCTCACAGACTTTTTTTTGTGCGCCCGAAGCAAATTGGAAAAGGGTTACCCTTTACGTAGGAAGGCGGAAAATGCATTACGCATACCACGATAGGCTATCTATCGTGGTTATGGGGGACTCACTGCCTACCGGGGAGCCTAAGTGATACCCCCTAAAAACCGCCTTTGGGGACTGGCAACCAGCTGTTTAAGCTTCATATGCCGTATCGGAAGCGACCCTCTTTTGGGAAAAGAGGGCGCAGGCGGCTAAAAGCCGCTGAGGAAGTGCCTACGAAGGCAAATTATTTATGAATTTGACTGAGCCACCAGGAGGCAGTTCAAATCGTTTGACAGTTTATTAGGCGGGTCCGAGAGGGAGTTCCTCGGCCTGCGGACGCGATAGCGGGAGGGGAGTGGGGTTGCACACTTAGCTGCCTTACGAATAAGTATGTTTGAATGAGACTTTGAAGAAGTTTTCAGAGTTTTTATTAGGGAGTGCCTACGAAGGCAAATTTAACCAGATGTATACTGACCTTACGGTGAAATGATTATAATAAACTTATAACGTACTTAAAAGATTATGATGCTCTGTAAGAGCAAGGAGTCGGTCCTGAGGGGACTGGGCACTGATCTCCCCAATGTTGATGTTCTTAATAGCGGCGTACACCGTATTTAGATTATCAACCATTGAGGGTTGTGTTTGCTGAGCGGCGGAGGACGACCGCGGAGGGTCGGCCTTTTTGGGGCCCCAGGGAAAGACTGGAGGCTGCAAAGGTTGCGAGAAGCCCGGAGGAGGGCGAAGAAGAGGAGGGACCCGGGAGGGCCTTATTTGACCCTGAGATGGTCGAAAATAGTTCTTAGGTCGCAATCTTGACGGGAGGGCCGGGAATGACTTAGCATTAACCGGCGGTGGAGCGTGCCTACTGGAGCGGGGATGAGGTGCGCAAGGGCAGCCTCTGTAGTTAGCCGGGTGGTCTGTTTGTTTACAGAGGACGCACGCGGGTGGGGATTCGGCATTTTTGGGCCGGGGACACTTTCGTGTTGTGGGGGTCAAGGCACTTAACGAACCTGGGCGGGGCGGAGCAGTTGGCCACCGCATGGCCATATAACTGGCAGCGGTGGTACTGCGCCGGGCAACCGCGCCTATGTGGGAGCTCAGCCTTCACTCTCGACAGCCCACACACCGTGCGTAACTGCCGGAAGATGGTCTTTGCCTCCGGAACGTTTGCGAGAATTACGAGGGCAAGGGGGAACCTCAAGCCTGTTCTGCTGTGCATTTTATGCACAGCCTCAACGGGGAATCCTTAGGACTTAAGGTCCTCAAGGATTTCCTCGTTGAAAAGTTCAAAAGGGCGCCTCGGATGACGGCCCTGATTTTGCGCTCTTCCGGAAGAGCGTACGTATGATAGGAGACTCGTTCGGCTGTGAACAGCCTGGTGAAACGACGAAAGTCGTCGACAGACTGGGGGATGATTTTAATAGCCTCCCCGAGGTTGGTGGCTTGGTCGTATTTTATTCCTGCGTCGTAGCAGGTTTTGGAGAGGCGGGTAAACTGAGCCTTGTCTCGTAAGAAGACAGGGGGCGGGACTTGCTTCTTTAGCCGGGTTTGGAGCACAGCGGGAGGCTGGCTTGGGCAGTGGTGACTCGGAAACTGCAGCGGTAGCTGCGGGGACTGAGGCAGCTACGGGGGCTGCGGGGTTTGCGGAGGCGGCAGAGGCCGCCGAAACGGTACGATTTTTTGCGGCGCGTTTACGGCGCTTGGAAGACACTGTGGTGAACTCTGATTCAACGGATCCGTCTGAGTCAGACGACTCCGTAGAACCAGAGCCCCGGAGTATGGACTCTGAGTCGGAGTTGGAGCACTCCATCTCTAGGGGTGCGAAAGAATTCGACTGTGGGATAGCCGGGCTAGCAGCCGAAGAGGCCGCGACGGAGGGTGGTGGGTGGTGTGCATGAGGGGCAGATGAATTGGCGGAAGCGACCCGGGCGGCAAAGGCTGCCAGAGCTGACGTGTCCATCTGGTACAGACGGGCGGCGATTGCGTCAAGAAGTTCTTTCTTAGACATGTTCATGTTGGGGAGGGGGAGAGACGTTTTCTACTTGAAACAGTAAGGGCGGGATCACCGTTCTGAAAAGAACGGGACGGTCTAAACTCCAGGAGTTGTGCCCTTGTTCTCAAAAGAGCAGGGCCTTGCTCTGAAAAGAGCAAGTAACTCCCTTGAAGCAGTATACACGTTATACAATCAATAACATAAAATAGAAAAATTAAAATAATCGACAAAAAACAAAAAATGACAAGCAAGACCAACAGTCAAACCGCCCCGCCCGGAGACGGGGGGTAATAACAGGAGTTAGCGTAAAAGGACTCACCCGGCGTCGCACTGTACAGCGCGAGCAGGACAGCGGAGGCGCGAGAGCGAGAAGCACTGCCGTACGGGGACGGAGCGCGGACTATCTGTATACAACCGCTCGAGCGCGGTGCCACAGGCGGAATCGTTTTTTTTTTTGAGCTCATAGACCAAAACGCCCTTCTTATATCTCGCAAGAGAGCGTCTTATTATCTGAGTAGCGTCGTGAGGTGATGCCGCGTGCTGATTGGTCGGCGACATCGCGTGATCTGCTGCCGGTGTGCGGGGTGCGCGGGGCGCAACAGGGTATGAAGGGGCGGCGGCTCCCCTCGCCATCCGTAACAGATGATATATGATGATATATGACTTTCAAATAAATGTGCTGGTTATTTGTGCTACTGTAACTTAATTGTACTTATGCCTATAATCTTCAACCAAAAAGTTGACAAAATTTTAGTGCAATCTGATGAACATTATGGCAGCGCATAACAAACGTACAGTTAAATATAAATTTTTATATGTATTAGATAAATGTTACAATGCTTATTTTTAGACTTTATTTTCATGTAATAAGTCAAAACAATATTTTCTTTCAAATAAAATTGCTTTGCAATAGTGCCATCTACGTCATTTTATAGGTAAAGTCTTAAAGTAAGAAAAAATTGTTCAAGTAAATTGGTAAAATATTTTTTTTATTGTTTATGTTAACCGTTCAAATTTTATAGCAACCATATTTAAAACACTGCAAAAAAATTATACGAAACACTGTATTAAAACAATACTATCTAGCAATAGTATAATTTAAAAAAAGATAAAAAGGCAGTAGTTGAATGGCGGATTCGAACCCACAATAGTGTCACTTTTTTCGTTTCATTGAGTTTCAAATCACGTTTCTAAAGGTTTCTTACTTAAAAAAAATTAAAAAAAAATTTAATTTAAATTGTTTGACTTCGATTTTATATGCCTATTGTCTCAGCATTATATGTAAGTTTAACATTCTTAAATTTATAATAATGGTTAACTTTAAAGAGTACATCCAGTAAAATCTTGTGAAACAAATTAAGTGGACTGGTCTAATCAGGTATAACTCATACGGCGGTGGTGCCCCTCGATCTGGTGAAATGCCGATTGCAAGTGGACCCCGATAAGTACAAGAATGTGCTTACCGGTTTTAAGGTGTCCGTGCGCGAGGAGGGTATGCGCGGTCTCGCTAAGGGCTGGGCGCCAACCTTCATCGGTTACTCCCTACAGGTATGTCCAGGGTTCATTTCATATTGGTTTAGAAAAAGTAGGACGTAATAAAATTCCGAGAAAACTGAAATGGACTATGTCCCCAGGGCTTGATGTATAAAATAAATGTATTTAAACCCGCGCTGAAGAAATGGTGGTGGTAGTCTTGAGAGATATCATTATAATTTTCTTGTATATGCCTTATCCAAAATATCCACAAACCGTCGAAGATGAGCATCGTCAAAGGTTTTTTCCCCTATAAAGGTGACAAACGAGCACACAGTCCATCTGATGGAAAGTGGATGCTGCAGTCCATAAGTAAGTCTATTATCAGGTAAAAATAAATAAAAAATGAGACTGAATGCCTCATTACCGGTAAAAAAAAGTCTTCTTTCTTTACACTCAACATACGAAATACATTAACAGCATTAGCATTTATTTTTATTATACTGCTTTTTACGCTGATATTCCGTGGTCCTTCCTCCTCAAGCTAACCCATTCTTGCTGCAATATAACAGCAGCAGTGTGGCTCTACCACCACGTACATAGTCTGTATAAATCAGGGATGTCAAACTTGATTTTCGATACGGCCATTTACAAAATTAAAAGTAGCTTATAAGCCAGAATCAAAATTAACTTATGCAAAAAAATCTTTATTTAAGGACTTGGTCAGCAAGGTTACTAAAATGTTTAGTTCTGGTCGCGAGCTCTGAATTTAATACGACTGGTATTAACATCCGATAGTAGTGTAGTTGTACCACTTCTAGACCACCTGAGTCAGACGTGGTTCAACGACGTTCGTCGACACCCGATCCTAAAAGGTTTTGGCATGCTCTGATCACGAATCCGCGGTCCATTTTTGTGTAGAATGCACGGTTCCGGAGATGTGTAGATCAATTAGCTTGTGCCGGACGGGCGTAACTCTCCGGAGTAAATGTTGTCGAAGATACTCCGCGAGCCGCTCACGTCCTACACCTATAGGTTCTGATGGATACTTTCACTACCGCCTTTGTGTATGCTGTTGGAGAACTGTGGACTGAGGTTCAGAATTAAAAATGCACGATTTATAAATTAAAATAGCAAGGGAGTGGCCAGCGGTTCAACTGATTAATTAGTTGCGAAATATTATAACTTATTTATTTATTTTAACACTGTTTTTCAACTATGATTATTCACTATATATTTTAAAACACAGATTTAATTAAACACACAGTAATATTAAAATTTCTATTGGTTTTTTAAAATTTCTATTCGTATTTTCAAAATATCTGTTGGTAATATCAAAATTCTATTGGCAGTAACAAGTTTCTATTGGTATTCTCTACAATTTCTATTGGTAATTTTGAATATCTATTGGGAGTAACAAATTTCTATTGGTAGTATCAAATATTTCTATTGGTAGCAGCTGGTTTTCTAACACTACTGACTAGCAGCTATTAATCAACTAAATTTAGTTGAATTTAACACTTTTGTAACTGCGAATATCAGTTACCACTTTTTCCGTCTAGCTAACACTTTTCACTATATGTAACGGCGAAATTTCCGTTATCACTTTTTTCAGCTAGCCAACACTTTTTCACTATATGTAACTGCGAATATCAGTTACCACTATTTTTGGCTAGCTGACACTATTTTACTATATGCAACTGAGAATTTTCAGTTGCCACTTTTTCCGACTATGTGTAACTGCGATTTTTCAGTTACGACCTTTTTCGGCTAGCTAAACTTTTTCTATTTCACTTTAACTTTTCACTGTGTTCTGCTACTAGTCACTTCAGCTACTACCGGATACTACTGCTTGTTACTGGTAGTTCTTCATACTACAATGTTACTGTGATTTGCCCCCATAAGGTAGACTTCGGCTATACTCTATAGAGAGCCGCTTGCCAATTTCCGGTTTTGCCTTTTTATTATCAAACATTTTCATTATGTAATTTGCACAAATCGCAATTTTTCTATATAATGCTAATTTTTACATTAACACGCTATACACTATAAAAGAGGCATTTTGGTCCTTTATCATTATGTGATAAGGGTTACTTGATATATTTACATTCAAAAAAGTTATTAATCAAAATGTACCTAATTTACATAACAAAAGTGCACATTAAATCTTTAATTTTACTATATTTATCAAATACGTTTATTTACATAAATTATCTATTTACTTATTTCAATCTATATACCATATGCTAACTAAATATCGTATTTACAATTCTTTCAGAACATAAAAATATTCTCATTATTTTCATATAAACTATTGCGCAGTTAATTAACTTCTAGAAAGTTCCACGATTGCTGCGCTGTGATTGGTCGAAATTTTATTTAATGTTTAAAGTCGTTTATATCAACTTATTATTAAAACGATACTTTATACAAATATATTACGAGTTGTAAACATACTGTAAAACTATATTAAAACACAATTAGTTCGATTTTGTCGCTAATTTCACTTTTTTAAAACACTTTAATATTCTTTAATCACTTTTTGCTTAAAGTCTTTAAACCGTCGCGAACATAGCTAATATCTAATTGATATCCGGTAAGGGCCTCCACCGTCATTAGCGTCCCATTGTTCCTATTTCTATTGTTCTATTGTTCATTAATCACCTTCATTGCAGCGTGTGCTTCGACTATATCAGTGCTATTGTATTGTACTTCTTTGTTCCTAATTATACAACGCTAATCTGAATCATCAATAAAACACATTACATAATTTTGTTACAATTTTTATTTATAAAATACAAAATCTTATTACTTATTATCTATAAAATAGGAGCGAAACATCTCATCCACTAAAATATCGTTGTACAATGTGTTCCTTGTAAATATACTCGTAAAACTATGTATTGAACATCCTTGAAACTTATATAGCAAATACATTAAGCAATATTCGCCACAAACTGAAGTCCACTCATTCTGAATCCTATCAACATTCCAGTTCCATCTTTTACAATTCCTTTTTAAAAACTCTAGATGATATCGTACAGGTGATCGTCCATATGAATCAAAATATTGACCGACGTCATTCGTATCGATATATAAAGCTACCCAATGTGACCCTGGTTTATCATCTGTATCCAAATTACATATTATATACGTTGGTACGTGGGTATACATAGGCAGTCTATTAGCTGCATAAACATTATTTTCTAGACTGGGGTGAATCTTTTTCAGATGTTGTTGTACATCTAGTGTATCCATGATATTACTGCTATTAGTACATTATTACAGTACCAATCTACTCAATGAATAACATAGGAATGGTCAATTATAGTGATTTCTAAATATTAAATTGCATTTTTGTGTTATACAAATCGTACTTGAGTCATTGATCACCAAACAAAACACAATACGAAGAAATGTTGAGATAGACAACGGAAATGTGAGATAAACTGGTTGACGCATAAAGTAATTATCAACTCATTACGGAAATACTTTAGATTAGAATTTTTACGTACTGGTGGTATATAAGACCAACAGACGCAGTCATCGAGTTAGTGTACGGTCGTTTGACTACAGTGGATCTATCAATAGTACATTTGTGTTACTTCAATACACCAAAGGCTATGGATGTAAGTGTTTATTCTATTGACTAAATTACTTTTTTTTCTGTTATTTTCATGTGTGTGTATTATTTTATTTAAATATTGTGTATGTATATGATTAAGCCGTGGTAACTTAGATGGTTAGCGCTAGCTGTAAATTTCACAGTACGCGACCCGGGTTCGATCCCCGCCAGCACCAATTAAATTGTTAATCGCAATTTTAAGTGCTTATTACCACGTGCTTGGTGGTGAAGGAAAACATCGTGAGGAAACCTGCATGTCTGAGAAAATTTCGAAGGCATGTGAAGTTCGCCAACACACATTGAGGGAGCGCGGCGGACATTTCCTTGCTCTAAAACCCTCTCAGAAATGAGAGGAGGCCTATGTTCAGCAGTGGACTTTAATAGGCTGTAACTTTAACTTTTTTAACTTTTATGATTAAGTGTTAACAAATTGATATTAACATGATAACTGTGTTGTTGCAGAAATCATTGAGCTTCGATGAAGATACCTATAAACAGTATTACTACTCGCCACTCTCCCCTCAAGAAGAGAGTGATAACCTCGTCATTAATAATAACACATGCGATGGTGGAAAAAGAAAATCGCAATCGATTGATCATTTTTTTGAAGCTGAATCAAAAATAAAAAAGAGGAAGCTGTTATCATCAACCGTAGCACGAGCCGCTAGAGATGGTGTATCATACATTTCTACTAATTCTGACGACGGAGACCAAGCGACGCATCTCATCAAAATTGAAATGTACGATATGAAGAAGCTATCCAAGATTCCAACTACTGATCATTGGAAACATGCTTCCACGAGAATTAAATATTACGTAAAGACTAATAAGGATAGCATCTACGACAACACAAACGCCCTCGTATACAATATAACAAAGACAATAGCAGAAAGTGAAAAAGTTAAAAAATACTTTTTTAACAATGACAGTCATTAGCTGATCATTAGTGAATGTGATTCTGTTTACTTCAATTACAGGAAGACAAGAGCGGAAGGAAGAGATGAGTGTGGCATACGTGTACAAAACACATCATTGAATAACAAAACTACAACACTGAGTGGAGAAGAAAACGAGAAGAGTATGCAGTACTCAAGAGCTGAATATCCATTCTTCAGTTCAAAATCTAGCCGTTTGCTTAGTTTCGAAAACTGGCCTCTCGTTATGCGACAGAAACCTGAAGATCTTGCAGAAGCTGGTTTCTTTTATACTGGTCATGCAGACGGGACCAAGTGTTTCCATTGTGGTGGTGGTTTAAAAGATTGGGAAGATGATGATGATCCTTGGCAGCAGCATGTTCAGTGGTTTAGTCAGTGTGCTTATGTAAAATTTCAACTCGAACAGTGTTTTGTATTAGATTAAATAGAAGATTTATAAAGAAATAAAAAAAAAATATATTGCATACAATTTGTTTTATTTAATTTTATAACGTTTCACATAGTTACATACACAC